GAACCCTTAATGCTGAAATTATTGCTAAAAGATGAGCGCTTGCAGGTATGTAGTTGTTAACTAATATTAATATTCAATAGCTTGAATGCAGCGATTAGCCTCCTATGGTGAAGGGTTTGGTCACAAGAGATGTCCTATACTGCCATATCCAATGCTACACAAACCCAACAGAATAATGTATAATCAGACACGGCCAGTAAGAAGAGACCCAAAGTCTCCCAAAAGGGATATAATAAAATGGAGCTCAATAAGGAGCATAAAAGAAGTGCACCAATAACAAGTTTGTTATGGAGCACCAGTGAGATAAAGCACGATAACCTATTAAAAATGTGTAGCTCGAAGGGCAAAAATGAGACATGAAAATGATGAGACACACCTCCATTAGGAACAGGGCTCAGCCCAGTCAGATATGGAAAGAAATGACAAAAAATGTAAAGAGAGAAAAATGAAATATGGCACAGTTAAAATGAGATATGTCCCAGTGATTTCTGATGAGATATGAGTGATTCACATATTCTGAAATGGCCTACAGAAAAATGATGAGATGAGCACAGATAGATGGGATGGGTTATAATCCTGTGGGGTATATTAGGATATGGCAGGGAGAGATGGGATGGGATATAACACTGTGGATTAGGATTGCATATAACCCTGTGTAATAGAAGGAGCTATGGCACAGACATATAGGATGGTATATAACCCAGTGGAGTATGAGTATATATGGCACAATCAGATGGGTTGGGATATAACTGTGGGGAGCATGAGGCTATTTGGTACAGTCAGATGGTATGGGAAAAAGCCAAGTGGAGGACTTAAGGATATGGCACTGACAGATAGAATCCAGTACAATCAATTGGAGAATGAGGAGATATTGAAAAGACAGACAGGACGGTATGCAACCAAGTAGAGGACGAGGAGATATGGCATAGTCAAATTGGTTGGCACATAACCCAGTGAAGGATGAGAATGTATGGTATAGTCAGATGGGTTGGGAAATAACCCAGTGGAGGATGAGGATGTATGGTACAGTCCAATTGGTTGAGAAACAACTTAATAGAGGATGAGGAGATATGGCACAATCAGATGGGATGGGAAATAACCCAGTGGAGAATGAGGATGTATGGCACAATCAGATGAGATGGGAAATAACCCAGTGGAGGATGAGGATGTATGGTACAGTCCAATTGGTTGAGAAACAACTTAGTAGAGGATGAGGAGATATGGCACAATCAGGTGGGATGGGAAATAACCCAGTGGAGAATGAGTAGGTATGGCACAAACAGATAGGATGGGATACAGCCAAGAAAAAAACAATAAGATAGAACCCAGAGCTCAGTTACATAAGATGATATACAGTACAGTACAAATAGGTGAATTATAACAGAAAAGTGAAACAAATCTCAACCAGACAGTATGAGACACAGCGTAGTAGAATGTGGAATGACATGGCCTTGCTGGATTTGCCAAAATACGATCCAGAGAGATAAGATGATACAAGAAAGATATAATATATGGCCAAAAGTATGTGGGCATTCCTTCAAATTACTGAGTTCAGCTGCACAAAATCTGGTCCAAAGGTCAGGTGTGGAGAAACTCAAGTGGCCTGCACATAGCCCTGACTTTAATCCACCTGAACAACTTTAGATAGACAGGAATGCCTATTATGAGCCAGCCTTTTCTTTTAACATCAAATGCTTTGTTGGGTAAATAGGCACACATTTTTACAGATAAGCTCAAATTCTGGTGGCAAGCCTTTCCAGAAGAGTGGAGGTTGTTACACCTTCAAAGGGAGGCAACTCCATAAAAATGCAATGGGGTGTCCAATAAGCTCATATAGTTGTGATGGCCAGGTGTCCACAAACTTTGGGCCATATAGTACATGATGGGACACAACCCTATAATGTGTGTCAAAACAGGATGTATTGGTATAGAGAGTACAGGGTTTAGTGAGGAATATATATGAAGTCAAAGCCCCATAAAAAAGTGCATCAAAACCATCAAATAAAATATTCTGCATTGTAGATACAGAGATATGAAAACTATTCAAATTGAACATTTGAGGCCCAGAGCTTTCCCAGGCTTGGATGGGTTCCCAAGGATGAATATGACCCTCAATAAAGACATGATCTGAGGTGTTCCTCTTTGAGTAGGTTTGAACAGACCCGGATGTGCACATGGTGTCCAGAAAGTCCTACTAGACGTATAAGACATCTTGAAATACTCCACAAAATATACTGTACTGCTTGGTGATAAATGTGGACTGAGTGATTTTAAAGAATCTAGAACATATTTCCTCTGTAACTTTCACGGTTACAGCTACAGTAAGTGCTCCCAACATGACCGTGAAATTCCTTCTAGAGTCTAGGCCCCACCAAAACAGACAATTTCTCACAAAACTACTAAAATCTGTGAACCTGAGATCTATAAGTGTAACACAAAGCCAGGCCTACAAATATGTGTTGTGTGACAGCAGACTTTGATGTCATTTGTTAAGAGTTATAAAATCTGATAATAGGCGCAGAGTTGGCTCATGTGACATCAGCTGATGGTAATGAAAGAGGGTCTCTTTCATTAAACCCAAGAAAAACAGGACTGGGACTTAACCTCAAGCTTTGCCTAAAAAACAGGACCTAACTGTGCGACTTCCACCTGTGTCTAAACGGGTACAGGAGCGAGATAGGTGACATCATTTGTTGCCATATGGCCTTAGACTAAGCCCAACAAGATCAGAACTGGGTCATGTGGCATTAGTCAATGTGTTTTGGACATTGAACTGGGTCTGCAGGCTTGGCACGTGGGTAGATTCACTCTTCATGCAGTAATGGTGGGTATGTATTCTTCATCTGAAGCCTAAAGATGTTGATGCCATATTTGTGCAGCTTCTTGTCCCCCCTCAGCGATGCTAAACCTTGAATGTTGCGTGTCTACTAGTCTGGTGAGGTGACAGTGGAGTGAAGGTGTGAAAATCTCCCAGCTGTCAGGGAAGAAAAGTACAGGTGCACTTGTCTCTTCCCCGCTCCGCGCTGAGTGACTAGGGGGCTCTTCCTTGCTGATCCGTGCTGAGGTGACGGATTTTGGCTTACAATCCTTTGTTGTAGACCACCGTGCGGCAGGTGGTGTTCTTCGCGATCTCTGGCTCAAGTCGAGAGGTCTCAATCTGTGAAGGATTCAAAGAGAAGTTACCATCAGACAAGTGTTAGAAAGCGTACATGTAAAGCTTTGCAGAACAATACAACACAAAATTTGACGGAATGCAAGAACAGTTCATATTCTTATTAAAATGTAAGAATTGTGAGGGTATTAGAAACACTGCTTACCCCTACAAACATCAGCTGTTTATGTGGTTTTGCCGTTTTATTGCTAGTACATTTCTGTTACGTCTAGGAACCCATCATCCTTTCAAGAGCTTTGGTGGTTTGGACAGCTTGCTCCAGACTTGCTTTGTGGCAATTAGATTCCATAACAGAGTCCTTTATGGTAGTCTGTCTCCTTAACACAAACCTTTATACTTGGCCCAAGTACTTTACTTTATAGCAGGCACCAGGTAAAGGGCTAAGGTGTCCGTTTATGACACATAGAATAGCTGCGATTCAGAGGATCGCAGCTATTCTCTGGTCATTCACAGTTTATGACACCCAGGAGAACATGTTCAGCCCTTCTCTGGAGATCTGTGTTCTCCCTCCAGATTCTCCAGCCCAGAGCTGGAGAATCGGAGGGACCGCAAACTAAGCAGAGATAATTTACCTCTACTTAGTAAACTGATCTCTTACTGTAATCTCGTGAGATTATAGTAAAATCAGCCGTTTTCCAGCATTTGTAGACCGTTCTCCCTTCGTTTGGAGAACTGATCTACATATGCTTCATAAACGGCATTCACAGGAGAACTGTGTTCTCCGAGAATGCCGGAGAACTGAGCAGCGATCATTTACTGCTGGTTCATAAATGGACACCTAAAACATCTGCTGTATCAGAACACAGGAACCTCCCGATGCTGGAATGTATATTTATTTTCTTTCCATAATGCCCTTGCATCCCTAAATGCCAGGGCATGGTGTAATGCAGAAAGTGACCAGACCTCTTGTGGCGGTGCTGTGACCCATTTTTTAGCCTCTCCCGCATCCCTTTGGGTTACAATGTTTGACGGACAGTCTCACTGCCCAGTAGACACTGGGGGAGGTTTGACGAGACGGGTGCGAAATACAACAATGAGAGGCCTGGTCAATGTTGTGCCCTGGATTGAAAGGCACAGGAACAGTCTGAAAAGACTAATCGCTAGGAGCTGCCTACAATATAATCCGATGACTCTTTTATCCTCTTGACAAGCCCAGAAGTTAGCGTTAGAGTAAATGAAAGATAAACGTCTGATAAAAAGTGAAGCCATATGCCAACACTCAACAAATGCGGAGATATAGATAGCTAGAGTTAAATGCAAATCTAGACCGTCTCTTAAAAGTCCTACTTGAAACAACATCAGTCTTTCAGATTGGGAGAAGTACTTTGCCCTGACACACAAATTGTCATTAGTACAAACCTAAATAGTTGCTGCGCTGCCTCTATTAAGTGAATATAGTTACCTACTTACGTGTGGGTGCCTCACAGATGTGCGTGTGCCTCAATGCCCTATGGGCTAACAAAAATGCATCCCTCCTGCCCAATAACTTAATACATCCCTAGAACATAAAGGATTTTCATGGATAAGAAGATTAACCACTTTCCTACCGGGCACTTATACCCCCTTTTCAATTTTCAGTTTTCAGCGCTGTTGCACTTTCAATGACAATTGCACGGTCATGCAACCCTGTACTCATATGAAATTTTTAGTATTTTTTTTTCTCACAAAATAGAGCTTTCTTTTGGTGGTATTTAATCGCCGCTGGGTGTTTTATTTTTTGCGCTATAAACAAAAAAAAAATCAAAAGATCAAAAATTTTGAAAAATAAAATGTTTTTCTTTGTTTCTATTATAAAATTTTGCAAACAGGTAATTTTCCTCCTTCACTGATGTGCGTTGATGAGGCTGCACTGATGGGCACTGATAGGCAGCACTGATGGGCACTGATAGGCAGCACTGATGGGCACTGGTAGCCGGCACTAATGGGTGGCACTGACTGACGGCACTGCTGGGTGGCAGTGCTGACCAGCACTGATGGGCGGCACTGCTGGATACAGGTGGGTGGCACTGCTGGGCACTACTGATGGGTGGCAGTGCTGGGCACAGGTGGGTGGCACTGCTGGGAACTTGTGGGCGGCACTGGTGGGTGGCACTGCTGGGCACAGGAGGCTGGCACTGCTGGGCACAGGTGGGTGGCACTGCAGGGCACAGGTGGGTGGCACTGCTGGGCACAGGTGGGAGGCACTGGTGGGTGGCACTGCTGGGCACAGGTGGGTGGCACTGCTGGGCACTTGTGGGCGGCACTGGTGGATGGCACTGCTGGGCATTGATCATCAGTGCCCTGATGATCGGTGCTGATCCATCCTCTAACAATTGCTGGTTCTCGGCAGTACTTTACTCATGCTGTGACAGCGTGAGGAAAATGCAGCTGATAACCGGCAACTGCATTTACTGGTGATCTGCTGTGTCATTGGACACGGCTGATCACGTGGTAAAAGGCTGCTCTGATTGGCCTTTTACCACATCACATGATCAGTTGTGTCTGTAGGACACAGAGATCGCCAGGGGTGCGCGGGAGGGCGCGTTCTGGGAGGACGTCATATGACGTCCTCCCAAAAACTGGCTGGCCATGGTGAAGCCATCATTTGGCTATCTGCGGTCGGCAAGTGGCTAATCATTATACCATCTAGTTTTCACATTGAATGCGGACAGGGATATTTTTTCACATTGGAACTTTCACACGTTTGCACGTTGACTGGAACTTATTATTGTTTGCATACAATTGCACTGTATGCTTAGTTTGATGGTACATTGTCAAGTTTGTATTTATTTATCCCGTAGCACATTTGTTGTTTGAGTACGCAGAGTATATATATTGTTTTCCCAATCTAGGGATGTATTAAATTATTGGGCAGGAGGGATACATTTTTGTTAGCCCATTGGGCATTGAGGCAACCACACACACACATCCTTGTGGGGCACCCACACGTAAGTAGGGAGCTATATTCACTTGAGGCAGCGCAGCAACTATTTATGTTTGTATTTACACAATTGTTCACCATTTCACATTTGTGGTTTTGCTAGCAGGAGCCAGTCTAATTGTCCTCTGCTCAGGCTACACTTCTACAAATTGTCATTAGTAACCAAGATACCGGAAAAAGGGTTTTAAACCTGTCACCAGGTAGTATAGGTGCCCCTCCGTCCTCCACCAGTTCAATTGTACAATCCCGAATACTTGTTGGTGTTGCCACACCGCCAAAGGCATTATGCTCCACATTTGGTTGGAATACCCCCCCCACTTTAAAGCATTCTGGTTGTAAATCCTCACCCTTTATCGTAAACGTACGGCGACCCACATCCCAAAATCACTAACCCTGGCACTCCTCTCCATGATTTCAGGACCTATTAAGTCTGCAAAGAAAAGGGGTCATATTTTAACCACTACTTCTGGTATCTCAACTGAATAAGAGAACTGCAGGGAGATAAGGAGATTGGAAAAGAGGAAGTGGAGATGATCCCCAGGGTAGTCATTCCCCAATATTAGAAAACAACCACCACATCTTCCCTTGTGGAATGGGCCAATGAACTGGACTTCACTGGGGATTTCGAATGTCTGCTGCCACAGGGAATGGATAGGGAGGAACAGTGTAAACTTGGACCTCATGGTATTTGTTTAGGTTCTCTACAGCATATCAGGCTTGGATTATGGAGAAAGTTTCCACAGTGGCTGGCAAGCCATGATGGAGTGTCCAGACCCTCCCCGCTTCCCCCGTATCCTTCCTCATCTCCACTTCCTCTTTTCTACTCTTCTTATCTCCCTGCAGTCCTCTTATCCAGTTTGAGATACCAGACATGGTGGTTAAAATACGACCCCTTTGCCAACTAGCGGAACTCTCAGTAGACTGGTCTCACAACACACATGGTGTTGCCCAACTTTTGGTACATTCAGTCTTAACTTGCAAACCACATGTTTCTATGACACCCTCTGTGTATGCCATTTCAGCATTGTTGAAGGACCTGTTCCGTGGTCCCTCTTTAATTTTTCTGCCACAGTTGTTATTTTTAATGCAAACATTTGAATAAAATAAGATTGCACTAAAAGTCCTGCTTGGTCCTCATCCTTATTTCTCAATCAAGCCATCCATGAGACGAAAGAGAGGCAGAAAGCATTGTGATTGGTTGCTGTAAACAGTGGGATGCTACAAGTCATAGCTCATGGCTGGTCGGGAAAAAGAGAGTTCCTTATTGGTGGGTTTGGAGCTATAGAGAGGTTGGCAGGAGAAAGCTGTTTGGGAAACTGGGAACAGACACTAGAAAGTGGTCAAATGTGCAGACAAGATCCACCCTCGGGCCTCTGTGCCAGCTGCTCGGTCCCAAACAACAAACTATCTTTTTCACCTAAAATGTGAAAGAGACCATTTGTGGTGATTTCTCAAGACATGTAATCTTGAAGATGAAGAGTGCCACGGTGACACCATTGTCCAGATCCTGCAAATTCTGGTGTCACTTCCTTTTTTAAAGCCTATTAATTGGACTGTAAATGAGCGTCACCCTATGGGCCTGATCCTCCTCCTATGTATGACCAAAGCGCAGCGCAGAAAAAATTAAACAATAATTAAACAAATACATTTCATCCAACTTCTGCTATTTGCCAAATAAAAGCCCAACAAAAACAACTGACGCTTCTGGGTCCCAGTGCCTGAAATATTCATAAATGCACAGAGAATGATAATACAGGGCCTGACTTAACACGTAACTCAAAGTCAATCCCAACAGGTTTGGACATATGATGGCATACATAACGTTTTATTTTTTTTTTTTTCCTGTGACTGTGTGTTTCCTTCCAGGATCCAAAAACACACTGGAAGCCTAAAGCGGTATTCACCCTAGGTTCACATCTGTGCGGGTGGTGCCGCTGCGGATCCACACGAAAATCCGTGCATCCGCACCACCCGCACAGAGGAATGCGGACCCGCGGGCAGGTGCCATTATTTCTAATGGCATGCCGCCCGCACTGGAAAACACCACCGTACTGGGAACCTCGACTGCGTTTTCCAAAGAAGAGCATGGACTTCTTCCCTGCGTATCACGGGCACAGGAGTCCATTCAAATGAATGGGCTCTCGTGCCCATGCAAAACGCGGCCCTCACGGCCGCATAGGGGTAAATCCAAAACCAAAAATGTAATATATTGCAGCTCACTAATCATTAGATGTGGTGACTGCATTGATTTTTTTTTAGGCTTTCTCCCACGGTGATCTGGCCAGTAACACACCTCCTGTATTAGAGCGCCCCCACTCTGGATGAAGGAGCACAGGGGGCACCTTTAGACAGCAGCATTGTCAGTCTGGAGGGATGGGGGGTTGTTAGGTGCTTTCACATGCAGTGGACTCTGATTTGATCAGCGGGGGATGTGTTCACTGATCCCCTACTCATCAAAGCAGAGCAGGTAAATGACAGGTCTGTGTCCGCTCAGTTTATGCCGAGCACACACAGGCAGATGCCGCTCTGCTCTATGGGCAGCCAGGTGTCAACGGACTCCACTGTCTGTTTATACCCGACTTCCCCCTGATCCGGTCTGCAGAGACGGAAGGGGATGGATCCCCTTCCATTTGTTTTTTATCAGACTGAACTGGATCGGAAATAGGCGGTGAAAATAGATAATTACACCCAGTGGTCCATAGTAATACATGAACCATCCAATCAGGTCTGTCAGTTTTTCAGGCGGACCTGATCGAATAGTCCATGTATCCCTAGGGACCGGCAGATGTAACCACTTCAACCCACTACACCCACCTACCTACAATCCCATCTGATCAGGTAAGATCTCCCATGATCTCTTACCTGTACTGGCAGATTTAGACACACTAACAAATTGAAGAAAACCATCAGCTCACACTTTATAAGCAGTTATAGCAAACCTGTTTTTTTACCTTGCGGGGTAAAATAAATAAACAAATAAATAAAAGCTCATCATTGCAAGCACCCCCGTCAGTGGTAAATGGTTTGTCTCAACCCTGTAACTGCTACACCTGCAGGAGAGCTTGTTCTGTAGAAAAACAACAGACTTATGCAGGCCATAGACGAGTCGAAAACCGGACATTTTTTTTTAAAAAAAAAAACGAAAAATTGGTCGTTCAATAGGCCGACGTTACCACCAATGGTAAAAAAAAAAAAAAAAAAAACGGCCAATTTTCGTCCTGTCGGCCGGCATTTAATTACTTCCATCCCTGCAGAGAGCTCCGCTATTATATTTGCCATTAAAAATCTTGTGGTTGCAACAATGTATCCATTTGTATCCATTTTGGATACAGATGGTTTTATTTGGATACAAATAGATACATTGTTGCAACCGCAATACTTTTTCATGTCAAATATAATAGCGGACTGGAATTCTTTTCTTTTTCTTCTTCTTCTATATCTTCTTTTTCTTGCAGGTCACGGCTCATACGCAGATTTTTTATCGGTAAAACAATTGGCCGATTTGCCCATCATTGCCGGGAAAATCGGCCGATCGGCAAAATCGGCCAATTTTTTTCCCAACTTTACCGATAAAAAAAATGTGCAAAAACCCCAAAAAACGGCCGACCAATTAACCCACTAACGGTGCGAAAATCGTCTGATTTTTTTTTCCGCCCGATTTTCAACCAGTCTATGGCCTGCATTACTGGCCAGATCACTAAGTGAAAAAGAAAAAAAAACCAAAAAAAAAAAGAGAAAACTAATGCATCCCTTGCATCAGCTGCAATATACTAAATGTTTCCTTTTGGGTGTAATACCGCTTTAATCTGCTGCTTTTTAAATTAGATATTTAAAGGGCCAATTCTCCCTATTGCAGCTGTAAAACACAGATCAATGGAAGGACAGCTGAATAGCCAACATGTCCTGTTCACATCGTAACGCTGCGCATGCATGTCAATGGATGTCAGCGTCCGGAAACGTACATGCATTTTCCATACGTGTTAGCACAAGTCAGTGGTAAGTGGCCCTAAAACAAAATATGTAAGTCGCACAATTTCAAAGTTGGGTGAGATGCTGATTTCAGGTGTGATTTGCAAGATATCTGACACGGATGTCTTTGCAAATCGCACCAAAAGTAGTTCATGTACTACTTGACAAATTGTGCGGCTCCGACCAAATCAGAACCGCACCGATACGACCGCTGTAATTGCGGACAATAGGGTGTGATTTGACTGCGGTCTTAGATAGCGAAGGGTTCCAAGGATGAGCTTGGACTCTTGGTTCAGTTTAGCTGTAGTAGGTCATGGATGACCATACCGGCCCCTTTGTTACATGCAGCAGCAGGGTAAAAAATCTCCTACCCACAGATCATTGAACCGGACAGGACAGCTTCCCATGGGTTTGGAAAAACTGGATTCAGACCGGGGTTGAACATGGCTCATCCCTAGTTGAAACCTTTTTTTTTTTTTGTGGCGTTCCACTGAAAAACAGGAAAACCCTTCAAACGTGAGTTTAACTACTTCAGCTCCAGAAGATTTTACCCCCTTCCTGACCAGGCTTTTTTCTTGCAGGTCAGCACTGCGCTACTTTAACTGGCGATTGCTCTGTCATGCAACACTGTAAGCAAACAAAATTTATATAATTTTGTTTCACACAAATAAAGCTTTCTTTTTTTTTGGTGTTTGATCAACACTGGGTTTTTTTTGTTTTTTTTTTCAATGTAAATGAGAAAAGACCGAACAAACAATATTTTCTGCGATAAAAACATATCCAAATTTTCTTCATAAATTTTGGACAAAATGTATTCTGCTATATGTCTTCGGTTAAAAAAAAAAAAAGAAGATCCTAGTGAGTGTATATTGATTGGTTTGTGTGAAAGTTATAATGTCTACAAACTATATGATGTATACCGGAATTTTTATTTTTTTAATTTTTTTATTTATTTTTTACTAGTAATGGCAGCGATCAGCGACTTATAGTATGACTGTGATAGTACGGCGGGTGCCATCTTTCTTCTCATAAAGGGGGACACAGAACCTCACGTGGCTTCTAACCCCTCACCACTCTACCCAAAAATGAAAAAAGTTGCCTTTAGATAAAGTTTTAGTCCTCATGCACACGGGACGTTCTTACAGCGGCTGTTTTTGGCTTTTGACGTTTTTTGACGTTTTTTTTCTACAACCAGTAAACCCCCCAGCATGTTATCCACTGTGTCCATGCACACCTAGACTGTAATCAATGTTTTTTGGCAGGGGCGTATTTTGGCTGGGAAAAAAACCCAGGACTAATGGGTTTCTAGAGGAGTTTTTCGGCTGTAAAAGCGCTCTAAATGCTGAAAAAAAAGCGGTTAAATGCCGCAATCTGGCATTTTTGGACAGTTTTTTGACCAAAAAAAATAAAAAATTTGGGGGGTAAGAAAAAAACCTAAAAAACGCAAATGTGGAAAAACACCACTAAATGCTAAAAAACTCATGTTTTTAACGTAACTTTACACAGCTAACATTACCAGCGTTATTAAATTGCCCCGTGTGCATGGGGGGTTATGTGTATGAATGTGGCGAAACATCAGATCCTGAGCTCTTTTGGAGGAGATGGTGTAAACAGTTTCAAGTATTCCATAAAAAATCTGAAGAATATATTTAAAAAAAAATATTTTTACATATATTTGTAAATGCATTCCAAAAATGTAGATTTGCATTATTAAAGACATACCGTATATTTGAAATGTATTTTTAAAACTATCAATATATTTTGTAATAAAAATGCATTTCAACATACAGTATATATATATATATATATATATATATATATATTTATTGAAATATATTGAATTTAGCCAAACTTGTAGCATTTCAAATATATGTCAATATATTTGGGAAGAATATTTTTAAAATATATTTCAAATATATTTTTCTTCTATGTGGGATCAATGTAATCGTACTGGAAATAAATAATGGACAGACCATTGAAAATATCAACTGTGACCACGGAACGTCTCCTCCAACCATGCCATGTCCATCATATGTTGGGAGGTCATCGGTCGCTTCTTAGAAGACGATGAGAATTCTAGCTCAGCATGCGATAAACTGAATTTCTATAAGTGTGTTGGATGGGAGGCTGAAGACAGACGTTATAATATAAAGACCGCATACCCTGATGAGTTACATCATTTACCGATGCTTCATAAATTAATATTTTGAAATGTTTTGATAGTGGGTGCCATAATGTGTTGCATTTACTTCTGATTATTATCTCTCGCCATAATGCAGGAAAGAGTGTAGGAAGTTACCAAATCTGTTTAGTGATCCATAAATGTAAACATATGTTATAGACATCATCGTCTCAATTATAGATGTCAGGTGGGGAAGCTGTGCTGGTAATTGAACACGGGAAAAGAGCTGTCCTCCGTAGCTACTGCAGGCGCTAAAGCAGCGGGCTGCCGAGAGTCTACGGTTCAAGCATGAAAGTGATTTTTTTTTTATTAATTACTTTCCAAGACACATAATTACATAGTTAGTCTGGCTGAAAAAAGACAAAAGTCCATCCAGATCAACCATTAAAAAAAAAAAAGTTATAATCCTATACCCACAGTTGATCCAGAGGAAGGCAAAAAAATCCAGCAAAGCATGATCCAATTTGCTCCTGCTGGGGAAAAAAAATTCCTTCCTGATCCCCCGAGAGGCAATCGGATATTCCCTGGATCAACTTTACCTATAAATGTTATATCCAGTTATATTCTTTGTATCCAAGAAAGAATCCAGGACTTTCCTACAGCAATCCACTGAGCTGGCCACAACCAACTCTTGAGGGAGTCTATTTCACATTCTCACAGCTCTTACTGTGAAGAAACCTTTCCGTGTTTGGAGATTAAATGTATTTTCCTCCAGAAGTAAAGAGTGCCCCCTTGTCCTCTGTGATGTCCTCAGGGTGAATTATTATATTATTATTATTATACAGGATTTATTATTATTATACAGGATTTATTATTATTATACAGGATTTATATTATTATTATTATACAGGATTTATATTATTATTATTATTATTATACAGGATTTATGGCGCCAACGGTTTGCTCAGCGCTTTACAATATAACGGGAGACAATACAGCAACAAAACAGTTCAATACAAGAGGGTTAGGAGGGCCCTGATCCTGGGAGCTTACAATCTAGGAGGGAGGGGCTAGTGGTACAAAAGGTAACTGTGGGGGATGGACTGGTTGGAGGAGTAGAAGATTCCATTATTAGCTGAGGGTAGGATAGGCTTCCCTGAAGAGATAGGTTTTCAGAGATCGATTAAAAGTGAGCAGAGTGGGCGATAGTCTGATAAATTGAGGTAGAGAGTTCCAGAGGATGGCGGAAGCTCTGAAGAAGTCCTGGAGACGAGCATGGGAGGAGGAGACAATGGATATAGAGAGTAGGAGGTCTTGCGAGGAGCGAAGAGTGCGGTTTGGGTGATATTTAGAGACAAGATGAATAACTCTACACCGAGTTCATGACTAATATTTTCTGTTTTAGATACTTTCCCCCTTCACTTGTCAACGGAAGACCTCCAACAAAGTTGGGAAATAAAGCCCCATGTACAAGGATCCTTCACATGCCCACCTAGTGTTTGTTAGCATGAAGGCCCTGTCAAATGTCAACCTTCTTCACACCGGTGACCAAGGGGCAGTAAAAACAAACGCCTCATCCATTTGGTTTCCCAACCCCCGATCACCTACCAAAAAGCCACCATACAGCCAGAGGGGGCTGACCACGTGCCACAGCCATGCAAGCTTTCCTCTCTGAAGAGTGATTTACGTTTGGATTTGTTTGAATCCCTCGAATCCCACACTAACATGCTGCACACAGCTGTGTGTTTTTTTGGTGGTGTTTGATCACCACTGGGGTTTTTTTTTTTCATTTTTTTCAATATAAACCAAAAAAAAAAACCGAACAAACAATATTTTCTATGATAAAACATATTCAATATACAAATTTTAAATCGAATTTCTTCATAAATGTTAGTCAAAATATATTCTGCTACACATCTCTGGTTAAAGCGTCTACAGAAGATGTGATATATACTAGAATTTGTATTTATGTTATACTAGTAATGGCGGCGATCAGCGACTTATAGCGAGACGGCGATAGGAGGGCGGGCACCCCCTTAGGCCAGGGGCGGACTGACAACTCATGGGGCCCCCGGGCAATAGGGGATTATGGAGCCTCTGTGTCCTTGCCCAAACTCAAAAAAGCCTATAAAAAAGGTACCAGGGGCATTTCATGGGGCCCCCAATGACCCCGGGCCCTCAGGCAGTGCCCGAGTGCTCGAATGGTCAGTCCGCCCCTGCCTTAGGCAGTTGTCACTGTGTCCTCTCTCTTTTAGATGTTGTCCCCCTTCACTTGTCAATGGAAGACCTCCAACAAGGTTGGGAAATACAGCCCCGTGTACAAGGATCCTTCACATGACCACCTAGTGTTTGTTAGCATGATGGCTCTGTCAAATGTCAACCTTTCAGGGTCTTCTTCACATGGGGTGGTAAAAAACAAGCGGCTGGGTGGATAGGGTGGATCAAATATGTAAATTGGAGGAACTTTATCCTTTGTAAGATGATAAGATGGAGTCACCATACAAGATGGAACAAATGGGAGGAATTCAAAAAGTCAAGGCTAGCCTTAGCGGTTATGGGGGATTAACATAGAATAATATGGAAACATATTTTGTTCTTTTATAGGGATTACGATCTCTGGAAATGAACAGGAAAATGCAGAGCAGAAGGGGCAGGGATTGGATGTGGGGGGGGGGGATGGGTGGTATATGGGTAGGGGGACAGGGGGGGAAGGGATGAAATGATAAATGTTTTGATAATACGCTAAGGTTTTAATGAGTATGTTTGTATAACTGGTTTATCTGAAAAATTAATAAATATTTAAATAAAAGAAAAAAAAAAAGACAAGTGGCTGAGCCGTGTTTTTTCCCATCACCTACTAAAAAGCTACTATACAGCCAGAGGGGGCTGAAAACCTGCCACAGCCATGATGAGACAAATGTAGGGCTTGTTCATGCGAGCTTTCCTCTCTGAAGAGTGATCCACTTTGGATTGGTTTTAATCCCTTGAATTCCGCACCAGTTGTGGGATACTTGCAGAGCAGCCCCATTCACTTGAATGGGTCACGTTTGGCAGGAGCTGTGCCCATCCAAAGTGACAAGTGGTATAATTCCTGCCAGAGAATGTGTACACCCCCGGCCACTGCAGCAAGGGGGTAGTGGGTTGTAATATTGGGGCTACGTAAAAGCGGGGCTCAAACACAGGGTTTTATCGCCCCCCCAACCTCATGTGTGTTGCATTTTGGGTTGACAGATGGTGGCATCTGTCAAACTTGCCCATTCAAGCCAAAGGGGCCTCGCTACAACTGTAAGCCCCCTTAACTAGTAACAGCTCAGTAGATAACTAAAATAATGGGAAACTCCAGGCACAAAAACTTACAAAAATATATATATTTCACAATAGCCACACATCTACTGTACACTAAATGTCTTTGCAAACCGAGTTGTTACTTTGTAAGAGTAGCAGTGATATCATCACTCTGCTGTCCATAGCCTGTGCAGAGAGCAGAGCTATGGGAGGGACCCAGAAGGCCCCACCCACTACAGTCTGCCTGCAGAAAACTACAGGAAGGGGAGGAGACAAGACCAGTCACCCTGCACAAGGAGCGAGAGCAGCAGAGAGCGGTCTTTTAGGCTAGGTTCACATATGTGCAGGTGGTGTGGCTGCGGATCCGCATGAAAATGCAGCACCACCTGCACAGTGGAACTCGGACCCGCAGGTGGGTGCCATTAATTCTAATGGCACGCCGTCTGCATTGGAAAACGCAATCGTACTGGGAACCTTGGCTGTATTTTCAGAAGAAGTGCAGGAACTTCTTCCCTGCATGTCTCGGGGCACGGGTGTCCGAGCAAACGTGGCCCGCATGGCCTCATATATATGAACCAGGGTAATACAGGAAGATCCTGCACAGAGGTCATGTCTCACACTGGATCACTGCACAGATCTAGAAAAATACACAAAGCTCACCAAGATCCAAGGAAGCATACACATCTCTTCTCATTAGACATTATTTGCTGGACCCGGAGTTTTAGGAACAAGGCCTGCAGTCCACCAGATACAATACATGAAGAATAACTGAACAGATTTACAATTCATTTACTTTCTCTTCAAAAAGAGTGAATGGAGGGTGGTGATGGGGGGGGGGGGCATGGTTTTATCAGTTTAATAAATATATTGTCCATATATGACATTATGTAGCAAGCTGTGTCATTTAAAGTGTTACTAAACCAAAGACTCTGCATTCCCTATATCTGGTCTCCCCGGACCCTGCAAACCCAATATCTGGTCTCCCCGGACCCTGCATTCACTATAACCGGTCTCTCCAGACCCTGCATTCACTATATCCGCTCTCCCCGGACCCTGCATTCCCTATATCCGGTCTCCCCGGACCCTGCATTCCCTATAACCGGTCTCTCCAGACCCTGCATTCACTATATCCGGTCTCCCCGGACCCTGCATTCCCTATATCCGGTCTCCCCGGACCCTGCATTCCCTATATCCGGTCTCCCCGGACCGGACCCTGCATTCCCTATATCCGGTCTCCCCGGACCCTGCATTCCCTATATCCGGTCTCCCCGAACCCTGCATTCACTGTATCTGCTCTCCCCGAACCCTGCATTCACTGTGTCTGGTCTCCCGGACCCTGCATTCACTGTGTCTGGTCTCCCCGGACCCTGCATTCACTATATCTGGTCTCCCTCCTCCGGACCCTGCATTCACTATATCTGGTCTCCCCTGACCCTGCATTCACTATATCCGGTCTCCCCAGACCCTGCATTCACTATATCCGGTCTCCCCGGACCCTGCATTCACTATATCCGCGGTCCCCGCATTCACTATATCCAGTCTCCCCGGACCCTGCATTCACTATATCCGGTCTCCCCGGACCCTGCATTCACTATATCAGCTCTCCCCGGACTCTGTATTCACTATATCTTGTCCCCCACGGACCCTGCATTCACGATATCCGCTCTCCCCGGACCCTGCATTCACTATATCCGGTCTCCCCAGTCTCTGCATTCACTATATCTTGTCCCCCACGGACCCTGCATTCACGATATCCGCTCTCCCCGGACCCCGCATTCACTATATCTGCTCTTCCAGGACCCTGCATTCACTATATCAGCTCTCCCCGGACTCTGCATTCACTATATCTTGTCCCCCACGGACCCTGCATTCACGATATCCGCTCTCCCTGGACCCTGCATTCACTATATCCGGTCTCCCCGGACCCCGCATTCACTATATCCGGTCTCCTCGGACCCCGCATTCACTATATCCGCTCTCCCCGGACCCCGCATTCACTATATCCGGTCTCCCCGAACCCTGCATTCACTATATCTGGTCTCCCTGGACCCTGCATTCACTATATCTGCTCTCCCCAGACCCTGCATTCACTATATCTGGTCTCCCCGGACCCCGCATTCACTATATCTGGTCTCCCCGGACCCCGCATTCACTATATCTGGTCTCCCCGGACTCTGCATTCACTATATCCAGTCTCCCCGGACCCTGCATTCACTATATCCGGTCTCCCCAGACCCCGCATTCATTATATACGTTCTCCCCGGACCCTGCATTCACTATATCCAGTCTCCCCGGACCCCGCATTCATTATATATACAGTCTCCCCGGACCCTGCATTCACTATATCTGGTCTCCCCGGACCCTGCATTCACTATATCTGGTCTCCCCAGACCCTGCATTCACTATATCTGGGCTCTCCAGACCCTGCATTCACTATATCTGGTCTCCCCGGACCCTGCATTCACTATATCTGGTCTCCCCAGACCCTGCATTCACTATATCTGGGCTCTCCAGACCCTGCATTCACTATATCCGGTCTCCCCGGACCCTGCATTCACTATATCCGGTCTCCCCGGACCCTACATTCACTATATCTGGTCTCCCCGGACCCTACATTCACTATATCCGGTCTCCCTGGACCCTGCATTCACTATATCCGGTCTCCCCGGACCCTGCATTCACTATATCTGCTCTCCCCGGACCCTGCATTCACTATATCTGCTCTCCCCGGACCCTGCATTCACTATATCTGCTCTCCCCGGACCCTGCATTCACTATATCTGGTCTCCCCAGACCCTGCATTCACTATATCCGCTCTCCCCAGACCCTGCATTCACTATATCTGGTCTCCCCGGACCCTGCATTCACTATATCTGCTCTCCCCGGATCCTGCATTCACTATATCCAGTCTCCCCGGACCCTGCATTCACTATATCTGGTCTCTCACAGTACACACAACATGGAAATGCAATTATTTTAGTAAATATAAACTGCTAAATACCTTTTCTCATCATCAGTATATAGCAGTCTTGTGACTTCTATCAGTGTCCAGCAGAGCATATGTTAAAGCTTGCAGGAGGAGTTTTCTTTCTGCTCTAAGTGGATGTGAAACCTCTGACCCTCTCTATGGACAGTGTTGATTGGCCCTGTGCTGATCACATGCACTCTCTGAAGAAAAAAATAAAACCTCTCTAGCAATACACACCAAACTGAGCATGTGCAGTGTCTCCACAAGATAGGTCTTATCGGGAGATAAGACGCAGACACTGGAAGAAGAGGAGGATCAGAGAAGACCGGATCCAACAGCATTTTTACATAATGCAGAGGATTAACCCCTTAGGCTTCACAGTGAGTATAACCAGCATGCTTTACTGCATATACAGACTGATTGTACTGTTGTGTGGGTTTAGTGACACTTTAAAGCAGGGGTGTCAACCTGGTGGCCCTCCAGCTGTTACAAAACCACAAGTCCCATCATGTCTTGCTTGTAACTATCGATCTTGCAATGCTTCATGGGAATTGTAGTTTGGCAGCAGCCTGCACAGTATGAGTACACAGATACACTGAGGTTTGTAGGAGTCCTGCATGGCACCAGCGATCTGCTGATCCCGGGTGCAATGCGTTACAGGCTCCAAGTAAAGAAAGGCAAAAATGCACATTTGTTTTCATGTGAAAAGATGAGAATTCATTATTTTATTTATAAAGGTGAACTTATCCTTTAGGGTCATCAGTAAAGACACAGTGTGACTGTTGTCTCCAAACAGGTGACAATGGGACCACCAGTTATGGTGACAACCACTTCCTATTGGGGCTCTAGGATAGAATTAACCTTACTAACCGTTCCGTATCTGCCACCCCTCCACTGACCTCCACTCAGTGTCCTCCACCCCTCTCTGCCACCCCTCCACTGACCTCCACTCAGTGTCCTCCACCC